TCGATCCTGCATATTAGTCACCTTTTAAAAGTATAATTTGATCCCCTTTATAAGTCATTAGTTGACGGAATTGTTTTATTTCAAATTAAAATTCTCAAATTACCCTTGAAAAGTGATAGAAAGACAAAAAAATTAATATTGTATTATTTGTTTATTTTTTGCTTTTTACTTGATGGTGTTATATTTGGATTCACTTACTTTTATTTCTTGTACTTTTGTTGTATTAGTATCGATGAAGTTGGTAGAAATGACTTATAAAAAGAATCGGAGAGAGTATAAAATGAAAGCAAAATCAAATGATATCAATATTTTAAAAGTAATTGTAACATGTTTTGTTGAAAATAAGTAGATCTTATGATAATTATATTTTCAAGCTACTGAGACAATTAGATTATACATGCGTAAAAGAATACTATAGAATTGAAATAAGAATTTCATTTAATATTTCAAGATATCTATAATGTGCCAACTTGGGGGTGAAAATATATAATTTCTATATTTTACTTTAAAAAAATTAAAAAGTTATAAGGGTTAGGTCCCTCCATCTCCACCTTGATAGAAATGTGTCTTATAATGATAAAGAAAGGAGAGGAGGATTTATAATTATAAATATTTGTTCATGGAATATTCTTTAATCTTTGACATCTTTTACCATTATTGTTACTTTCTCACATGTAATTTATCTATTTTCATTAAAGAAACAAATCCTTTTCATGAAAACTATTTTAATCACGCTGGGAAAAATAATATCTAAAAAGTGTAATTATAAAAAATAAAAAATTAAATTAAACATGATCTCAAGATGGAATGAGAACCGGTTGCTATTGGTAGATCTAAATGACTTGTAAGAAAACTTAGGTCCCATTTGGTTGCTAGAATGGAATAAGTTAAAAAATAAAATAAAAATGAGATGATCAAAATGTGAAGGGGATAAATGAACTATATTCATAAGAGAGAATGGTAATTTAGTTCACAGGATGATTTATGAGATTTTGAAAGGTTTAATGATTATCACATTTGTGGTATATGCTGGCGGTATGGACGCAAACAGTGAGCTGCTTGAGTCATGCTTAGAAGAATACTGTCCTTAAGAACTATTTCGGCACAAAGGAACAATGGACCAGCAATTTCCTAGAATTAAACAAGCATTTCTTGTAGGAACAAGGAGCCAGAACAATAAAACTAAAATAAACTCAAATGAACAACACAACAGAAGTTGGAGAGAGGAGAGAAATGCCCAAAAGCTCAAGAGGTTGGCCAATTGATCTATCTGCATCTATGGCTATATATAGGTCGAAGATAGAGACATGAATGTTAGCTTATAATCACCGGATTAAGGCTTTGGTTACACACACATAAAACACCATTAATCTGGAGCCATTGGCAGACAAGGGTGTTTAAGAAATTAACTCACAAAATCAGTTTTCAGAAGTGGTTTAATACTCAGAAACGGCCAAGGCTTCAAATTCAAACTTAAACAATGAAAATTTAAGGTTTTCTAGGTAAGCTAAAGAATAATTATTTATTTATTTATTTTGTAAAAATAATCCACTAAAAGGAACCCAATTTATATGCAGGGGGGATGAATCGGCTGATTTCAACTACAATTGCCTTGAGTTGGCTTGTCTGATGCGAGCAAGCCCACTTCTCCTCTAAGCCCATTTTACTGGCCCACTTCATTCCTTAGTATTTATATATTAAGAGAGTTCTTCATTTAGGTAATGTGGGACTTTTGACATGCATACTTTTGACACACACAGTAATATATAGTATTGAGTCTTATCGTACTTACCATCAAGGAGAAGAATAATTTAATTCATTCTTATTTTTTTTTTCAATTTATTCTATTTTCATTCTTTATAGAAACCAAACATAACCTTATAGATCAGACTCATACATAGTGTGGCATAAGTTTTTTAGTGGGTATTGTATGCCAGTTTATGAGCAAACCCTAGGAGGTGCACACGAAAGTTGACTATAGAATTTTGGGAGAATGACAAATAAAGATGTTGTAAGAATATTAATATCTAATCAAGAGTTTTTAATACTAACATTTCAAAAGTTTAGTACTTCTTCTATCATGTTCACTATTAGAGTTTCTAATTCAGTATTAATATTTTCACAAGGTCTTTACTTGCCATTCTCCCTAAAAATTTTTCAATACCTCAAGATGACACTACGAAAGGGCTTGTTCTTTGAAAAATGGAGAATCGAGAGGAATGTAGATCCATGCTTATATATTGATTGGGCAAGTTCCATGACAGTAAAGGTTTATCACTAGCTATTTCACATTTGTCCAGGAAAATTTAGGGCCTAGTTTATTATCTATTTTCAGAACAGTTTTTATTTTTGGAAAGCAAAACAATTAAAAAAAATCTATTTGGAAATGTTTTTTTTTTCAATCATAACATCTTTTAATGTGTCGTTAATCATGTTTTTTTAATGACATTTATATTAATAAAATAAATAATTCTTTCACCTTTTATTTCACTACTATAGATATGCTTTTAGAATATTGATTCAAACAATTTTCTTTTAATTTTGTTTCCAAAATTTGTCCTAAAGACTTACTCTACAGAATTATTTTAAGAATATAAGTCATTAATAGAGTTAAACAAGTCCGTAGTTAGTTGGAGAAGCAAGGAGCATCTAGTTGTTGCAAGCAATGTTGAGGCTGAATATAAAAGTCATGATTTTAAAACCTAATTAAATTGACCGGGTTTAACTGATTGAACTAAACACTAACTCTTACTCCAATTTAGTTGTCCCCCAAGAATCGATCATTAAAAAACTGATCAACAATTAGGAAAATTAGACCAGTTCTCATAAGAGAACCAGACAAAATTTTTAAAAATAAATCAGAATTAAAATTAAAATACTGAAAGCTTTGGGCCGTGAGCTATAATTTTGCAAACATAAATTCGGCCTCTCCCATGGCAATCAGCGTTTTCTACTTCTTAGATATGCGCGCTTCTTTCTCCTTTGCACACAATCGATGTGGGGTTTAAATGACTAGTGTGCACATACATTATGCTCCCTTTTTTGTTTTCCCTCTTTTTTCTTTTGATTTTGGTTGAATTTTTTTTTTTGCATATATCTTGATTTTTTTTAATGTAGGCACGTCATTTTAATCTTTATACTTTCTATTATTTATGCATATTTTTTTTAAATATGATCTTTTTAATTTAGCTTAAACATGCCTTTAAAAAATGTCTAATATTTTATCATTCTATCAACATCTTTCTTGATATTTAAATGAAAAGCTTTACTTATAATTAATATTAATTATATATTTATCAATAATAAATTATATTACCAAGCATCTATAATATTTTTGAAAAAAGTTACATATTTAATATATTTCTTATTTAATTATGATACATAAATTAAAAATATATTAATTTAATGTCAATTGGTTTGACCCTAGTTAGATCACGGTTTGATCAATGAATTGTGAATTAATGCTTTGCTCGGTTCAATGACCGATTTGATTTTTTTAAACCTTGATAAAGCTCGTGTGCTTGGAACATATGAAGGCCTAAGGATAAAACAAGCATTCGAGGAACTAAAGTTTGGGAGAATTTTAATAAAGATCCTTAGATTGTATTTATTTAAATTTAAAATCCTAAATTTTTAAAATTTTACTATAGTTCAAGGGCACTAATTTGATATTAAATTTTTAAGAGAAATAATGAAATCACTCTTTATTCAAATTAATATCAAAACTTCTCTACTTCATTTGTTCATTGTCCTATTTTTTTTATTAATTTACTTATGAAATATTGTTCATTGCCCTACTTAAGTTATCTTTATTTTAAATGTTTAAATTATCTTTGGGCAACTTATTAGTTCCTACATCATATGTTGTTCATTTACTTACGGTAATGGACTGTCACTTGTTTATTGCTAGGCTTTTATTTAACAACATTTTATAAATAAATGAACAAGTGAAGTGGGACAATAAATAAGTAAAGTAGGACAGTCCTAATATTAATTTAATGGACAATTTTGTTATTTTTTTCAAAAATTTAATATCGAATTAGTATTTTTAAACTACAGTGAAATTTTAAAAGTTTAAAAACTTTAAATTTGAATAAGGGTCTTTACTGAAATTCTCCCTTAAGGTTTCCCATGGGTGGTAAGATGAAAGCGTGACATCATTGTTACATATGATATTGTCAGTAATTCTATACATGACAAAACAAGGCATGTATAAATTGGCCCGCACTTTATTAAAGAGAGAACTGATTTTGGCATGATTAATTTGAAGCATGTGCCAAAAAACAAGTGGCAAATCTAAAATTCTTACAAGACCTAACCTAAGTTTGATGAGCCGACAAGCAAAATGGGAATGATAGATGTCTAATTTAGCTTGAGGGTTAGAGTTGGAAAAATCCCTCATTTATTTTCTTTCATTAGGGGTTTTCCCCCCATTTTATTCAAAGTATCATATGTATTTCCTTTTCTTTATTAGGTATTTGATTTATTACCCTGTTTGTGGGTTGATCTCTGCACTTCTCTCCACTTATACTCTGTACATATTATACCACATTTTTTGTGAATAATACACAATCCTTCCTTTTTCAAATAAAAAAAACAAAAAATTAGTTAAATATAATAATTATATCTAAAATTAAAAATTTGGATTAAATTATCATTATAATTAATTAAATAAATTTATCTAGTAAAAATAAACATTGAGAGATAGTTTAGAAAAAAATGTGATAAATGCTTCTTGAAATTTATAATTTTACTTAGAAATAAGTAAAAAAAAAAAACACATGATAATTTCTCTTATATTCAAAATCATAGTAGTATGAATCATTCTCCCACCACTCTTGTTCAATTCAAATGAGGATCATCTGAAGTTGGAAGATCCAACTACATTAATTAGTCCTTTAACCAATATCTCCCAACTATATATGGTACTCATTCATATTGTAGTGACAGCCCAATTATGTGAAACGATAGCAGATAAAGCCATGAGATCAACATAAAGATTACAGAGGAACACAACAAATTTAAGATCAGCCCCGAATTGTTGTACGAAAAAATTAAAAGACCATCAACAGTGTCTAAGAACATAATATCTCGTTTACAGAGTATGTAGAAGTTAACTGGGAAACCTTAACAGATTGTGACAATTGTAACTACTCATTGAGCCACCCAGCCGAGTGATAGTGGGAATATGCATTGCGAGGAGGCACAAAACCCATCGGAGTACCTCCATATCCAGGTTGTGGTGGTGGAACTCCATATCCAGGTTGTCGCGGTGGGCTTCCATATCCAGGCTGTGGTGGTGGGCCTCCATATCCATGTGGCAGCAGCGGGCTTCCATATCCAGGTTGTGGTGGTGGCCCTCCATATCCATGTGGTGGCAGCACACGAGGATCAAAGTTGCTATTTCTACCAATTATTGATTGTTCTAACCCTAAAGTCCTTGTCCTGACATGGTTTGATTCATCCAGGCGAGGTGCATATCGTTGCATTGCTGATGTACTCATGTAGGATGACCTATGATCGGAACTAAGTTGACTATAGCTAGTCCCCAAGGGGCCAAAAGCATGATCATCACCAGATTGATACCTACTTCTCAAATAATCTGGTTCCTGAATCCCATACACGCGAATTTGTTGCCTAATATCTGCTTGCCTCCAATGCTGTTCATCCCTGAGATGGGGTCTATATTCGAAGCTACTGGGGCTGTCTACCAGAGGGCTATTATGATGTTCCTCAAAATTTCTAGCTCCATAATTAGAACGAGAACGAGCAGAACTCGGCCGATTTTGATTTTCAGTCCCATGATCGGCTCTACCATACGTCACATGTGAGCGAGAGGTGGACTCGTAATTCTCGTATGCATTACTATTGAACTCATGTGGAGACACTGAAGTAGATCGAAAATCTTCCTCTGCTGGTCTGCCATTGAATACCCTGTGTTGCATCACTTTGTCATAAGTATCATTTACCGGCTGTTTGTTGGCTGGTGAAGCTACATCACATCCTCTACCAGCATTCTCATCAGCACGATTCTTCTGTGATGTCTTGTCAGAATTGATTATGCTCTTCCCGGAATTGCTTTTGCTTATGCTATGCTCTTGTACCACATGATTCCCATTGGCAAGATTACCATGAGATGAATTTTCTTCTAGACCCCCGTTCCTTGAAGCCCGACCACCATCAGGATCATTGTCTAGCTTTGGAAGGTCAAGATCCAACGTGAGATTGTTGCCATGATTACCATCCACAGTACGATCTGCAGGTGAAATTCCATCAAACCTCTTTTCTATCAGTACATCACGTTGGCTGGGCACATGACCATGCTCCTGGGCTATCGCCTTGTGTTTATCAATCCAGTCATGACGACTCCAAAGATACAGTACAGGTGCCTTCACGTTCCATTGATCCATTTGTCTGTCATTAACATCAAGTGATCCAGGCAGATAAAATGACTGGAAAGGGAATCACAGACTGCCATCAGGCCACAACAGCACAATTATTCGTGAAAAATTAATTAGAATTCACCACAAGAATTACTAAAAGAAATTATTAAGTTACCTTGCCTGACAGAAAGTCAGCATCCTCCCAAACAAGATCATAAGGGGTTCGCTTATTATCTAACCTGCAGAAAGAGGATGAATGTGACAAGCAGAACAAAAAGGCTTGTTTCGTTCAGCACGGAAACAAGCGTTATTTGTCTCCCATGTTTATTGACAAAGGGAAAGAGAAAAAAGAAAACACTTTTTTTTTTTTGGGGGGGGGGGGGTGGACAAATACCTCTCTGTCTCCGGTGGAACAATAAGAATAAGCAGCTTTGGCTGAAACTCAAGAGCCTTATCGATAAACTTGTTAGCCAAATTCGCATTAACACCAAAGGGGGGATTGAGGCCCATAATCTGTTCAAGCATAAATGGAAAATATGCAAAAGAATTTGTAAATGACCCTTGAGAATTTACACATAGAACCACGTGATGCAACAATTCTCACCAATTGTGAACCCTTAGGCAGCTCCTTCACTTTGACAGACATCCAGTTCCTCATTTCAAAATTAAAATCATTCTGTAAACAAAACAAACAAACGCACAAAATCTTAAGCAAAACCCAGGGACAAACTGGATTACGTCAGCATTCATCAAAATTTGGTTAAACTACCACAAACGAGTTATTGAGGCACAGTGAGATATTTCATACAAGCTATAGTATTTTTTCCAAACATCATCCCCATAAACTATTTAAAAGCATTATGGCCACAAACATCAAATCAAACTACTAAACAACTTTCATATTTGTTCGCCACAGGGAAAATGGATTTCACTTTGATATCAACTATCTTTCAGTCTTCAAGAATAGAAACATAGATTATAAGATATGTGATCAACATTTATTTATTTATTATTATTATTATTATTTTTGGCTGAAAGGCATGATATCATGTACTTGCAGCACTAGATAGTAGATATCAACGGGAAAAGTGAGGTAGTATCCATACTAAACACACAAATGAAGCCCCACTTATGGTGTCTAACTCATGCATCCACCTAATTAAATGCTGAAGGTTCACATTGAAATGAATCAATTTGCACGTTCAAAAAAAAAAGGGGGGGTAAATCCCTTGAATTCTGAAGCACTGACACTTAACAGGATAAGAATTTCCAACATCACTCTCCCTCAACACAAGAAAAGGACAAATCCATAAATGTCTTCTTGTGGGGAAGATACTGTACCTAATTACTCCCAAGCCTAGAAACTCCCACAGAAAGTTGAGTGTCAATAAGGACGTTCAAGGTAGAAACTAGTACAGTTAGCTTCAACAAAAATTTAGCTACGTTGAAAGAGTGAGGATATTATTGATATCATTAATATGTCTGCATAAAGAACAAGAATAAGACTGGAGAGGATGAGGGGCCAGTAAGAACAATGATGTGTCCAGCACATAGCTACCATATCAAAAGGTACATGACTATGACAGAATTCCATCAGGGAGGCAATTATATGCACTGGGAGTTTGTGAGAAGACCCTGGCGGAAAATCATTTGGTGTGAGAATATTTAATATTTATTGTAAATATTGTCTTTTAATGTATAGCCTTTATTAGTAATTAGTATTTATTCCCTCTGTTGTATATAAAGTCAGTTAGTATCTCAGTACTGATCAATAAGAAATATTATTTTCTCCCAAATTCCACATGGTATTAGAGCTTGTGCATCTAGGGTTTCTTGTTGGCTGTCTAGGGCTGATCTAGGTGATGCTTTGAAGAATGAGGCTCTTAGTGTCTCTAGCTGTTGACATTCACGATGATCGAGGGCACTCTACTCTCATTGATGGCCTAGGGAGATGTGCAAGGGTCTGAACAGCACAACCCCAGAAAATGATGGCGAACAGTGATGCATGGAGGTCACATGCGCTGCCTGAAGTTTCAAAGTCAGGGAGTACCAGGTGGCACGTGGGGGCAAGTGTGAAGCCTGGGCAGACGACGATGCTTGTTTCCAGCAACGATGTTAAGTTTCCGGTCCAATCCATGGGTTCCCAGAGTCTAGGGAGCCTTGCTCAGAATTTTTTTTTTTTTTGGGTCTTGGGTGTCTCGTCCATTGTTGTATTTCGTCCCTGTGCCTACTCTTGAGCTCTTATTCTGAAAGTTGGTACTTTCTTGATGATTCCAAAGTACTGCTTTTGGTTTTTCTAACCATTGTGCTCTCTGCTTATCTACCATTCGTAATACAGAGAGTGATTTGGCCACCCCAATTGAGGATTGAGTTGTGGGATACATATCAAAGTCAATGTCTTTGGTATAAGTGGTTAAAAAGGGTAATTTCCTTCAAGCCCTAAAAACCTCATGCCCCAAATCTTTGTGGATTGTTGACTCTGACGCCTCCAATCATATGACTAATTGTCATGAGTTGTTTACCATGTACACCCTTTGTGCTATGAATATTAAAGTAAAGATTGCAGATAGCTCCTTAGTACTTGTAATGGGAAAAGGAGTATTTGAATTTCAGATTCTAAAGTGTTGGAATCTGTACTTCATGTGCCTAAACTTGATTACAATTTACATTTGATCAATCAGTTGACCAAGCAGCCAAGTTGTTATGCTAAATTTCTCCCACCCTATTGTGTGTTTTAGGACCTATTATCTAGAGCGATAATCAGAAGTGCTAAGAAGCATGAGGAGCTTTGCTACTTCGAAGTCTCCGCTCACGTAGGTAACTCACTAGTTGTTGGTAACTCTACATCTACCTCTAAAGTTAATGATTTTATGTTGTAACATAAGAGGATAGGTCACCCTAATTTTCATTACCTTAAATGATTGTTCCCAACTCTATGCCTAAACCTGAATATTAATTACATTCATTGTGAAGTATGTGAACTTGCCAAACATCATAAAACTTTCTTTCCTAGAGCCACAAACACACCTACCAAACCTTTCACAATCATTTATAGTGACTTGGGAGGACCATCTTGTACACCTAATCATAATAAAACATGGTTTATTTCCTTTGTTGATAACCATACTTGTGTTTGTTGGTTTTATCTTTTGAGAAACAAGTCCAAGGCTACACTCATGTTCATAAATTTCTTCAGCATGATCAACACCCAATTCAATACCACCATTCATATCTTACACACCGATAATGGCACTAAGTAACCAATATTGAGTGCTTTCCTCCAAATGCATAGTATTATCCATACCAATTCTTGTGCCCATACACCCCAACAAAAGGGGGCTGATGAAAGAAAAAAGCATCATATACTTGATGTTGCTAGAGCACTTATATTTCCTTGCAATGCACCCAAGTTTTACCGAAGAATGCTATTTTGATCACAACCTGCCTAGTCAACCGTATGCGTAGTTGAATTCTATCCTTGGAAACTCCTTTCCACAAATTGCAAAGTGTTTTCTCCACATCCCATATTGAAACCAATCATCCATTTTGTGTGTTTGGGTGCACAACCTTTATCCATAACCATTATAGCACTAACCTAGAACCTTAAGCTATCAAATGCATACAAATGCTTTAGCCCTAACTCAGAACACACATTTGTCTATCTTGCTATCACCTTTCATGAAGATACTCTATTCTATTTCAATTCTTCGATTCAGGGGAAGAGCATAGGTCAGTCTTAGACTTGGGAACAAGAACCTAACTGAGAACTGGTGCTTCCTAAGCCATGGTTTACATCGAGTACTACCACTACCTCTTAAGCCATTACCTTCACCTATGCTACCAACACCCCCATCTCCTTTTATGCCATAACCTAAGGAACATAGGGAGAGAGAAGGAGATGCAAAAAGACCACAAAAGGGAGAATTGTTAGTTTACACTTGGAAAGAGAAATTGAAAGACAATGAGCAACTTATACTTGAAGCAACAAGAAAGTCGGAACTAGATGTAGCTCTTGAAGCAGAAACTCATGGAGACTTAGAATTTGAGGTAACTTTTGAAAACCCAAAGCTAGATGATACAGAACAAGTGAATCTACTGATCTTGATCTTCGCATTGCTTTGAGGTAGCAATCTACTAATCTTGATAAGGTGAAGGTGCCTAAGACTCTACAGGAAGCTCTAATATCCCTAAACAGCAAAGTGCTATCATTGAAGAAATGAGGACTTTCAAAAAGAATGGGACATGAGAACTTGTTCAGCTATCTAAAAGAAAGAAAATGGTGAGTTGTAAGTGGATGTTCACCCCAAAATACTAGGCTGATGGAACTCTTGACAAGCTAAAACCACTAAAACCACGCTTGATTGCAAGGGGATTTACCCAAACATATGGTTTGGACTATGAAGAAACATTTGCTCCCACGCCAAAATTGAACACTAGTAGAGTATTATTATTTGTAGCAGCTAATCTAGAGTGGCCTCTTCACCAAATTGACATCAAAAATGCTTTTTTGAATGAAGAGTTGAAGGAAGAAATCTATGACTCTACCTCTTGGGTTTGATAAAGGCAAGGAAAATCAAGTTTGTAAACTGAAAAAGTGTATATATGGATTGAAATAGTCACCAAGAACTTGGTTTGATTGGCTCTCAAGAGTCTTAAAGTCTAAAGATTATAAGTAGGCCTTGTCGGATCATACAATGTTTGTTAAGATTGAGGGAAGCAAGAAATGTATCTTTATTGTCTATATTGATGACATAATACTCACCGGAGATCACTTTGAGGAGATAGAAAGAGCAAAGGCTACCCTTGGCAAGGAATTTGAAGTCAAAGATCTCAAGAAACTAAAATACTTTCTTGGGATAGAAGTTTCTAGGTCAAGGAGAGGAATCTATGCTTTTTAGAGAAAATATATACTTGATCTTCTCACTGAGACAAGTACATTGGGTTTTAGGCCTGTTGAAACTCTTATTGAGATCAAAAAACTGAAGAAGAAACCTAAGGACAAGAATGGAAAAGAGAGACTCCAAGGAGGAAGAAAGCTCAAATGGGGAGTATGAAGAAGAAAAGGAAGAAGCTACTAATAAGGAGAGATATCAAAAACTTGCTGGAAAGCTAATATATCTTTCCCATACAAGGCCGAATATAGCATTCACTATCAATGTAGCTAGTCAATATATGAGTTTCCTAATAAAGAGTCATATGGAAGCAATTTATAGGATTTTGAGATATCTGAAAGGAACTCCTGGTAAGGGGCTGTTCTTTAGAAAACACGAGCAAAGATCTATAGAAGTTTATATTGATGCAAGTTGGGGTGGAACTTATAGAGATCAAAGGTCAACCTATTGTTCATTTGTGTGGGGTAATCTAGTCACATGGAGAAGCCAGAAGCAAAGAGTTGTTTCAAGAAGCAATGCTGAATCTGAGTTGAAAGCTTTAGCTCAAGGAATAACAAAGGAGTTATAGCTGGTATGAGTCTTGAATGAAACACATATTGAAGCAATTTCACCGTTGAAGCTCTATTGATACAACAAAGCTGCCATAAGCCAGGCTTTAAATCCAGTACAACATGATAGGTCAAAACATGTGGAGACAGACTGACACTTCATAAGAGAAACTGTGGAAGAAGGAAATATATGTTTGACATATTTGCCAACAAAATTGCAAGCAACTGATATTTTGACTAAAGGGTTGCTTGGCCCTGCATTTAAGAATCGTATAAGCAAGTTGGACATGATTAGCATTTATGATCCAACTTGAGGGGGAGTGTGAAAATATTTGCTATTTAACGTAAATATTGTATAGTCTTTATTAGGTTTTATTAGACATTATTAGTAATTATTTCCCCTTGTGTATATAGTCAACTTGTACTCGATATTCAAATCAATGAGAAATATTATTTTCTCTTAAATTCCACATAAAGTGTCTCAAACACTAGAGAACCCTTTTCTCTTTCCTGTAAGCATTTTCTTCTTCCATTCATTATGGATAGAAATTGCCAACCGCCCATAGCCTAGCAGTTTCCATCAGAATACTACTCCACCAAAAAACTAACGCGGCGAAACTTACAGTGGTATCAGTATCTGTTGGTAAACTGACCACGTTTGCCCTGAACTTCAGAAATTTAGTTGTTGACCCTAGTCAGACCTCATTTTGATATCCTTTTATTAGCTTTTAATAAATTCTATTTATGGTGTCATTTCTCCATATTTTTTATCTACTTTCAGTACCTTAGTTCGGGATTCTAGTGACAAACTCATTGCTAAGGTACTTTTTTTCTATTGTCACCTGTTTCCTAGTTAATGTACGAAAATCAGACAAGGTCCTCTGACTTGTTAGCATAGTATCAGCATCCACTAGCCCAACAACAAGAAGAAGCCTTTATCCCACTAGGTGGGGTCGGCTACATAGATTGTAAAATGCTATTGTGCTTTATCCCACTAGCCGAACAACAAAACAAATGCAAATAGAAAATGCAATTATATAATGGCAATGCAATTTATACTGAATTATAATAATTATGCCATAAGAAACTCCCAAATGTATATTCACCTTTGTTGGAAGTAAATCATAGTTTTTGTAAAAGCATTTCTTCCCAGTCTCTTCAAGTTTTTTCTTCATCAGGATGCTAAAATCATTAGCACCACAACAGAAGTCCACGATCTGAACATTAATAAATGTCAATGAGACATTGAACATTGAATTTTAGTTAATGGTCATCTGCATTTTTAGAGTAAACGAAAGGAAAACAATAAATATATTTAAAGAATAAAAAGAGGCAAATAAAAGACAACAGCTAAACAAAACCAACATTATGGATATATTTTTTTTTAAATAAAGATCTATTTTTATAATTCACAGTGTAAATAAAATTCATGCAAAATGATATAAAAGGAAATGGCCATAAACTATATAACAAATGTACAAAAATAAAATATAAAATAGAATAAAGTTTTTGAGTAATCTTCCAAAAATTTACAATAGTTAAAAAGAATATCCACTAGACTATTTAAATTAAGAACAAAAATCATGCCAACAGCCAAAGAAGCATAGGATAGTTAAAAGTCAGTAGCAACTACAAATATTTACCGTATCACCATTTTGGACATACCAATGGAGCCTATCGATAACCTGCAAACACAAAATGAAGCTTCAAGCAGCATTCAATGGGTGTAAGTATGAATTTTCAAAACTTTAATGAAAGTAATTATAAATCTTCAAATTTCAAGCAGTAACTAAGTATATCTAATGAAAGAAAAATGAGAAGTACTCCAAATTTCTAGCATTTCCATTCATTCATAAAAAATCAATTTCATGCTGAAATCCAAATTCTTTAGAGTGACAATACCAGTTACCAAAGAGTACCTCAGTCATGCCTTTGATTAGTTCTTAAATAGCCACGGGATTATCCACCAAAACTCTTGCGTCAACACACCATAACAAAATGAGGTCTCTAAGCATAAGAATAGTCATTTGCTTAAGGCTGCTAGATCTTTTATTCTTACAAGCAATACTCCTAGTCACTTATGAGGGGATGCTATTCTGCTTTCTTGATCAAAAGAAAGCCTTCAAAAACATTGGGATTCCTTACACCATATCCTTCTGTTCCCTTTGCCACAACACTACCTCAAAAAGTGTTTGGGTGTTTTGCTTATGTGCATAGATAAAATATGGGAAAATTAGAGCAAGGGGGTGTAAGAATATCTTGGAGAATTCTTCCACTAAAAAACGTTATAAATGCTGTTCTCCTATCCGTAATAAATCATTTGTCACTATGGATGTTGAGATCTTTGAAAGTCAGCCTTATTATCCAAAAATAAGCCTTCAAGGCGAGAGTAGAGAGAGAATAGTTCATTTTGGGGGAAAATATCACACCAAGCCTAACATATCAGCACAGCATACCTCCTACCCCTGTTAAACATCAAAGATCAGAAACACCTATATTTGAAGCTTCCAGACCTGAAACCAAACCTGATTAGAATGAGAATTGTTGGAAGTCTGAAGCCCAAAGCCCAAAACACTAAATTCCACTTAATTTTTATCGTTTACCTTATTCACCTATTTTATCAGTATTCATTTATTTTTTGGCCAGATCAGTGTTTATTTTTATTAGTTAAATTTGCCCTAGATTTACCCTACTAGGCTAAGCATATACACTGGCTGGAATATATGAATTAATTTAATGATTTCATCATGGTATTGGAGTGTATGATATCCAGCAACACAGAATGAGTGAACGACAGCAGCGAGTTGCTCAACAAAACCTCACCACCCAAGGCATCACACAATTAGAGGACCATGGGTGACATAAATTTCCAATTTGGACGCTTTAGAGCATTAACCAGAGATGCATATTCCAGAGGAGAACCAGAACAAGTCGAGCAAAATGAAGACTTTTGGATCCAATACGATGCAAACCCCAAAGCTTACCAGACCAATCAAGTCTAACCACATGCTATAAACTTCATAGTGAGAACTACCTTCAATGGTCTTAGACTTGGTCCCTCTTGATGTTCATTAGAGGCAAGGGGAAGGAAGAATATATTGATGGAAGGTCTTCAGCCCCTAATCCCAATGATACCAAGCATGCAGCAGGGAGAGTAGAGAACAACCAGGTTATGTTGTGGTACATAAACTCAATGACTATCAACATAGGGAGGAATTTCAAGCTCTACACTTTAAGCTCAAGATATATGGGGGCTGCACGAGAGTTGTATTCTTCCACATCCAACAATGTTGTTTTGTTTGAGATAAAAGGGAGGCTTCACAAAATTAAGCAAGGACATTCGACTGTTACAATCTATTACAATGCCCTCATCCAACTGCGGCAACAAATAGACCTGTATGCAGCTCATGTGTGATTTTGTACTAAAGATGCAAGGTAATACCAAAAATTTATTGAAACAGAACAAGATGGATTTAAACTAAAAATTTGAAGAAACAAGAAGCAGGATTTTAAGTTATACAAGATTGCCTTCATTCAACAATGATGCTTTAGCCATGGTAGCTAGAAATACTTCCGGTACAGATAGAAAGACTTAAAAAGGGTGGTAGACCAATCTATGACCATTGTAATAAAGATGGGCATACAAGAGATATATGTTGGAAGCTCCACAATATACCGCCCTAATGCTAAGCTATGCTGATATGTGATAACACTTGGATCATATGACCTCTAGTAGAGCTCTGTTTAAATCTCCCATATTGTCACAAGGGCCTCAAGGTGGAAAGTAGCTAAGTGCACCACTCAAGGAATTCCTTGAACAGCTAGGGATTCATCATCAAACTTCATGTGTTCACTCTCCTCAACAAAACAGAATGGAAAACTAGACACATCTTAGAAATCACAAGAACCATTATGATAGCGAGAAATGTCCCAAATCTGTTTCAAGGAGATGTTGTACTCACATCAACCAACCTCATCAATGCCCTCTGAAGTTTTAAATTTTCAAAACCTATCCAAAAACAACCTGAAACATAAACATTCCCAAATTCTCCTTTGGTCTTGAGTATACCCTTAAAAGTACTTGGATGTGTGGTATATATACAAAACAATAATGGAGGAAAATTTTATTCAAGAGCAACAAAGTGTATCTGACTATCTTCCTTGGATACTCCCCAACACAATAGGGATATAAGTGCTAGGGAAAATGACAATTAAAGACCCCATAAGACTATTAATTACAATTAGGGGCCCTGAATGATTGAAATCCCAATAATGGACCATGACCCTTACCTGGAATTAAAAACATGAGTTTAAAATCAAGAAAAAGCACTACTAAATTTACTATTATGGTTAGGACTATTGTTAATTTCAGTTGGAAAAACTAAAATCCACACTTGAAAATGGGATTAATAATAATTCCAACCTATAATAATAATTTCAGAAGTCTAAACCCATAACACATGGGATCCTAGTTTTCACAACTGATATTAGCACTAGTCCCCACCTATGATAGTAATTTCAATAGTATTTTTTCTTGATTTTCCAAGTATTTTACCTATATACTAACGAGCACAAAAATTGATAAGTGATTGGCTTCATATTCAGGAATGATTTTAGGAAATTTATAAGTTACTATCATATATTCACAAGTGCCTTTCAAAAGTCTCACAATTGAATTTTAATTCTATAATGGGAAACAACCCATTCCCAAGTGTCAATCCTAGTTTTCCACGCTAAGATTTAAAAATAGTCCCAACCCATGATAGTAATTTATTAGTCACTTTTCTTTAATTTTAAACTCATGTTTTTAATTTTAAGTAAGGACAATGGTCCATTATTGAGATTCCAATAATTTAGGGTCCTAATTGTAATTAATGGTCTGTCACTAGAGATGCAACTTTCTTAGAGGAGGAAGCTTATTACCCAAAATTATCCATTTAAGGGGAAGAATTAGTAATAATATTTTGCAAATATTTCCATTTTTATTTTGTATTTAATAAAGTTTGCAATTATCCTTGATTTCTCAGGATCTCAATCTACTTGATTTCCCATTTATTTCTCAGCTGAATGATGGGGATTGAATAGCATGAGTTGCTCATCTTCCATTATATTCATTCTCCTCTGTGAATAATACACACACAATTCATGTTTCGTTCAGTAATCATCAATACTAGTGTTATGGTGCATTTCCTGTGTTGTTTTAGTCTTCATAGCAAGGTTCCTATCAATGTTCTCCTTTAGTTTTTCTTCCATATAAAAAACCAAGGCATTTTCTTGCTAGTAGCTCCATGGTGAAAGAAAAAAGCTCCAAGCATCTAACATTTACCAACAAATACAAGCAGAATGACATCAATATATAAAGCAAAATCACTATAAAACTAATACAACAACAACAACAACAACAAGCCTTTATCCCGCTAGGTGGGGTTGGCTACATGGATTGCAAGACGCCATTATGCTCTATCATTTATTAAGCTTTTAGGAATATTATTAATTAAGAGATCGCGTTCAACAACTTCCAAGAGTATTCTCTTAGGCCTTTCTCTACCTTTCTTAATCGGACTCAAAGTTATATATTCCACTCTTCTCACTGGTGCCTCCCTTGGTCTTCTTTGTACATCCCCAAACCATCTCAACCGATTTTCTACCATGTTTTCCTCAATAGGTGCCACTCTTACTTTTTCGCGTACGTGCTCATTTCGAATTTTATCTTTATGTGTACGTCCGCACATCCATCGTAACATTCTCATTTCTGCTACTCTAATTTTATGTTCTTGCTGTCCCGTTAGAGCCCAACATTTACTACTATATAATATTGCCAGTCTGATAACAATGCGATAAAATTTTCCTTTAAGTTTATTAGACACCTTACGGTCGCAAATAACTCCTTTAGCTTTTTTCCAATTAAACCACCCAGCTTGAATTCTATGTGAAATATCTCCACTGATTTCACCATCATTTTGAATAATGGCTCCCAAATATCTAAACTTTTCCACTTGAGGTATAATTTGATCTCCCAATTTCACTTCCAAATTATTGTCGAATAGTCCTTTACCAAATTTACAATATAAATATTCCGTCTTACTTCTACTCAGACGAAAACCTTTCGACTCCAATGTCCTCCTCCATAACTCAAGTTTGCAATTAACCTCTTCTCTTGTCTCTGCTATAAGAACTATATCATCCGCGAAGAGCATACATTTCGGAATTTCCCCTTGAATATGTTCCATCAAAACATTTAAGATCAAGTTGAACAAATAAGAACTCAGAGATGATCCCTGATGTAGTCCAATCTTTATAGGAAAATCCTTTGTTTGACCACTAGGCGTTCTTATACTAGTTTTTACCCCTCATACATATCTTGTATGACTTTAATATAAGCAATCCGTACTCCCTTTTTTTCCAACGCTTTCCAAAGCACTTCTCTTGGTATACGGTCATAAGCTTTTTCCAAATCAATAAAAATCATGTGTAGATCTTTATCTTTACAACGATACTTTTCCATTAATTCCCTTAGTAGATAAATCGCCTCTGTAGTTGATTTATCTGGCATAAAACCAAATTGATTCTCAGAAATACTTGTCTCCAATCTCAACCTGTGCTCAATTACTTTCTCCCACAATTTCATTGTGTGGCTCATGAGTTTAATCTCTCTATAGTTAGTACAATTCTGAATATCTCCTTTATTTTTATAAATAGGAATTAATGTACTTTTCCTCCACTCATCAGGCATTTTCTTGGACCGTAAAATCACATTAAATAACTTAGTTAACCATCTCACCCCTTCTTCACCTAAACATTTTCACCCTTCAATAGATATACAATCAGGTCCGTTGGCTCTACCATTTGCCATTTTCTTAAGAGCTTCCTTTACCTCCTTATCACGTATTATTCGATAGAATGACAAATTTTGTTCTCCTTCACCAGTTACTAAATCCTCCAAGTTACTAGATGAACCCTCTCCATCATTAAAAAGTTTAGAAAAGTAAATCTCCCATCTATTTTTAATTTCATCATCTGTAACTAAAATTCTTCCCTCTTCATCCTTAATACACCTTACCTGTTCTAGATCTCTTGATTTTCTTTCCCTACTCTTGGCAATCTTATAAATATTTCGCTCTCCTTCCTTCGTCTCAAGGCTCTTATAAAATTCTACAAAAGCTTTAGAATGAGCTTCACCCACAGCTTTCTTAGTTTCCTTCTTAGCCATACGGTATGTCTCCCAATTTTTCTCATTGTTACACAAATGTATGGCTTTAAAACAGTTCTTCTTATACTTGATTTTGTCCTATACACTATTATTCCACCACCAAGACTCCTTATCTCTTGGACCAGAACCTTTTGATTCTCCCAAAACTACTTTTGCAACCTCTTGTATCTTTTTAGCCATATCCTCCCATATGATGTTAGCACTTCCCTGAGATTCCCAAATTCCTTTATCCAAAAGATTTCGCTTGAAAATATCTTGCTTCTCACCTTTTAATTGCCACCACCTAATCCTTGGTGTTACTACTTGTCGACTTGTTTGAATTTTACTCATAATACACACATCAAGGATTAGGACCCTATGTTGTGTCGTTACAGCATCTCTGGGGATCACCTTGCAATTTTTACAAAGTCTTCTATCTGTGTTCCTAACCAAAAGAAAATCAATTTGTGACCTTGAGGCTCCACTTTTGTAAGTGATGAGATGCTCATCTCTCTTCTTGAAACAAGTGTTGGCAATCTTAAAATCATACGCCAATGAGAAATCAAGAAGAGTTTGTCCTTCATTGTTTAGCTCTCCAAAACCAAAACCACCATGCACTCTCGCATACTGACCAGCTTCCCTCCGACATGCCCATTAAAGTCTCCTCTAATAAAAATCTTTTCACTCTGTGGTATGTGTCAAATCAACCCCTCCAGATCCTCCTAAAATAATTCCTTAAGACTGGCTTCTGTCCAGACTTGCGGCGCATAAGCACTAACAATATTAACAGTCTCACGTCCAATTATCATTTTTAAGGAAATAATTCTGTCTCCAATTCTACTAACTTCTACAACGTTCTTCTTCCACTCCTTATCTATAATGATGCCTACTCCATTGCGTGCACTTACTTTTCCTGTATACCAAAGTTTGAAACCTTGAATATCCTTAGCTTCTTTTCCACGCCATTTTGTTTCTTGCAGGCAAAGGATATTGATTTTCCTTTGAATCATAACCCCTACAACCTCTACAAATTTACAATTCAATGTCCCAACGTTCCAAGTACCAAATCTAATTTTGCTCTCATGGACTAACTTCTTTAGCCGCGTGCGTCCAGAATGACGCGGTAGCCCTTGCTCATTTAACACTACATCCGGGTGCCGATGCAGCGGCTCTAACTCACTTATCACTGCACTCGAGCCATGCAACGCGTTACTTATGGGCAACGACCTAACATTAACATTATAATGTCTATTGTCCATGTTCAACGAGAAGTAATTACATACACTGGTAACAAGATTGGTGTTGTAAGGCTTACATGCTCCAGCTTGAGGGTTTGATAGATTAGCATTTATTGTTTCTGTTTTCTTTATCTAGGCACACCATGGAAATCTCACATCAAACACACCATGAGCTAAACAACCTTAATATATAGACGTAACAAAAGCATCTCTTGATCAGGGTTTTTCAAACCTCAAATCTTTCTCTAACTTTACAATATGCTCTACAGTCTGATTTATTAACATTAACTATACAAATCAAAATACCTATTTCACGTAAAATTTACAATACATGTTCATGGGCTACAGGTCGTAAACAACAACACGATGAAAAGAGAAGATATACATGCAATTCTGCATGTTGTGCCAAACCCAACCTTACACCACTCACAAAGAAGAGAAAGTGTGTAAATGAGAAAAAGAATAGAAATATGAAAGCACAGACACAATAAATATGAAAGAATATTTAAGGTACATAACATTGTGATGTTGCAAAACTAAGGAGATTAAGTTGAGTAGAATCATAAGTAAGTACCCCTTCAAGTTTTTCTACTTTCGTAAAATGGCGGCCATGAGATGTGTACCGATTACCATTCAAAACAGGTGCAAGATAAACTCTCAACTTGTCCTACAGAAAGGTCAATTGAAAAAGTTATGACATATCGTTAGAGCCAATGCCAGAAAGCAACTTGTAAAGGGAAAACGTGCAAGGGAAAAGGAGGGAAAAAAGTATCTATTGCAATTATTATTGACCCCTTAAACAACCATCCGCAATAAGAACAATGATATAACACTACCTCAGTAAAATAATAACCAAACATATAAAATGGACTAATAGCAGATCATTATACATGCAATCACATGTTTCCAAATATGCCCCTCATCGAATACCATGTTTTTACAAGGCACGCTTTTCTTCTTCTCAACTACAAAGTTAAGCATTAATAACAAGACTTTAGTCCAAAATATTCAATTTGAGACATAATTATTAAAATTAACTATCTTAAAATGTGTGAAATAGACAATTTGCTTACATTTGAAGACGGATAATTTAGTAAATAAATGCATCAAAAGATTAATGACCAAGTAAATCTTGGCCAAACTTTAATGTCCCCAAGAGGAGAAAATTTAGCCAAATAGTCCATGCTTATGTTGCAAAAGTGCATAACTTCTATCCATATCTTCACAGAATTTGAGTGTAATCACTTCCAATAGTTTTAATCACAAACCTATAGCAGGAACACCCAGTACAACTCTACTTACTTCTTCAGAGCCCTTATGCTTAGTTAAGGGTCAAATGGAGCACCATCATAGCAAACAACTTCAGGCCTGTTTGGTTGATGGAAATGATTGGAATGTAATGACAGGGAATGTAATGTAATGTTGACTACATTGAGTCTGCTTGCTATATTTTTGAGGATCTTGAATATAAATTAATTTTTTATATCCAATTTAATATACACAAAAGCAAAAAGGACCAAAATGCCCTAAACCAAAAAAAAAATCTGCCTCTACTCTAGTCAGTCATCCCCTGACTGCGCCATACAGCAAAAATATCTTCTTCCTCCCCTTTAGATGCAGAGGAAAGAAAAATCCAAAGGCAAAAACAAAGAAACAACAAAATCAAATGGATATTTCCTTAAAAATTGAAAACAAAACAACTGAAAAAGCAAGTACTCAAGAAGATCCAAATCCAATTCCATGACCTTTTAGATCTGGTGAGTTTCAAGGGTAACGAGTTGCGTTTCAGATCTTGAGTGTCAGGTGGCAGTGAAGGCTAAGGGAGGGAGGAGGGCGGCAAAGATTGATGGAGATGAAAAGGGAAACACAAAGGCAAAGAAAGAAGCGCTATGATGAAGGAGTTCATCACAGCAGTGAAGTTGAAGGTGAAGGAAGGTTGCAAGTTCAACGCCAGCAATTTTGATGGTGCAATAGCTCGACAATAATAGGGGGAGACAAAGAAGAGGGAGGAAGGAGGAGGTGAATGCTTGAATAGGGAGGGGTACTATTAGATAAAAAGGGTGTGAATAGGGATTGCATAGGTCTAATGATGTGATCCCCGTCGCACCATATGAAGTAATTTGCTTTACGTAATGTGATCCCCTTACATTATGGTGGTCCAACCAAATAATGGGAATGTTAGGATGCATTAGGATTACAGGCAATCCCCTTGTAGGGAATTGAACCAAATGGGCTATTCCACTCCACAATCATTGCACTTCAATTTAAAATTATTAATGTGACCCCACATGAATTTCTCTTCTTTCAAATCACAATATATGTTGGGAATAAAAGCCACAGAGGTGATGTACCCATAAATGTGAGAAGGGAATGAAGACAATAGAGTTAGGTGCAGGATGGTGCTGTATGTTTTGTAATTGGGTGAGAGATGCCAACAATGATGTAGGAGGGAAGATATCCTCTAAGGCCCTATTTCGTATGAAGGATTGGAGGGGCGGGATTGGCATTGAGATTGGGTAATGCCAAATTTTCATGTTTGATATGGGGTAATAAGAAATTTAATCCCAATTCCATCTAAATAGGATTACTCAATACCACCACCACCACCCCCTAGTACTAGAAAATCAATCCTTTATTTTTAGACTGAATTGCCCTCCACCTATCCTCTCTCTCATCTTTCCCTTTTCCCTTCACCCCATCCCTCTCTTATATCTCACTCTATTGAGCTTCTTCTCAAACAACCTAAGTGACACGATGAGTACGACAAAAGCAACATCAAATGGCTGACTCTCCTCTGACGGAATAATTACACAAGTCTATCAAGCCATAAGAAGAGCACCAGCCCATAATCGCAACAATTAGTCTTGGAACGACGATGAGAGAAGTAGAAGGACAGTGGAAATTTTCACCAAAACCGATGAACAAGATGCCATCCCACTAGCCTTTGTTCTACATTGCATCTCACACACCAGATCAAGGCCATTGCTCTAGATCTCATTGCCTACTTCAATCTCTGCCGTTAGCCGTTGCTTCGTTGCTTCCAAGTTGCAAAGCTCATCATTCCCACTGCTAGTGGGGCTATCAAAGAATTCATTAAATTCTTTCACACTCCCTTACTAACAAAGCCACACACAGCTAGTTGTTGTTCAAATACTGGAATGAAGTATGTTTCATGGCAAAGGATAGCGCACTCTGATACCACTGATACATCTCTATAGTTCTAACAAAGAATGAAAGGGAGAGAAAGAGAGGGAAAGGGAGAAAGAGAAGCGAAGTAGAAAGATACAGAGGAAGAGATACGAGAGAGAGAGAGAGAGAGAGAGAGAGAGAGAGAGATCACATTTTCAACAACCAAAAAGCCTGCAAAAATTAGTCCTTAACCCATCAATTTATAGTCCCTTCTAATTACACTAACTAAACCTTAACCAACCTTTATTTATTATCATAATATCTTATCAGGTTCCATCAAAGGTAAAAGTGGAAGTACAGATTATCTTACTATAAAACTGGTAAAAGAAGATTGATCATAAAGAGCTTCAGAACGAAAAACATCCAGGAAAATTATATGAAAATAGCTGAGTACCCTCCATTTAAATATCTGGGTCAATATATCAGGATCACAAACAGATTTTGAATCCTCAATACTTTTCCCTTCATCTAGCCTCTTTAGAGCTGTTCGAACAGCCTGCAATACAATAGATGCGAGCTAAATAAGAAATTAAAAAAAAAAAAAGGCCACCATGCTGTAAGCATAAAAATAGTTAAGTACATCAACTGAGCCCTCCAACTTCCCAGCAGTAATGGTCTTCTCCACATAAGTTCGTAAGGGATGAGTTTGACTAGATGCAAATTTGTGCTTTCTTAACACATCATCCAAGGAGATTGATGATGTTGCTTCTTTGAACAAATCCAACAATCTACATGAACAGGAAAACGCACAGGTATCATCATCATAAACACGACATTGCATGACACCTCAAGTTTCAACCTAAGGTCCAAGAGAATTCCACCATATGTCCAACTTCAATTGTTAAATAAATTAGAAGAAGATGAAGTAGCCAGCAACAACATCAAGAAGGTCAGCCAATTCATAATTGAACTAAACAGTTACCTCCTCTCTGAATCAGAGTCTAGTTGAGTCAATGTATTGCTCAGCTCCTTCTTAGTACACTTCACAGGAAGGGACTTATTAGCTCCATTAGCCTCATGCTCCCTAGGTTCAATTTTCTTGGAACTCTCGGTCATGTAAGCATCAAACAATCTTAGGCCAAATGAAGATTGACTCTCCTTGCCATCAAGGTTTTTGCTTTCCTTTGGGATTGACTTCTTTTTTTCATTCAGGTGCCTCTTTGGTGCATCATTTGCTTTTCGTTTCCTTGAGACATTTGATCCAGAAATGATCTGTTTGGACTCTTTCTTTAAACTAGCTTTCCCAGAAGATGATTTCTCAGTCAGTTTAGAGACTTTACGATTAGTACGTTTGCAATTAGAATCATCTCGATCAACATTATTTTTGTCTGACAGAACTCTATCTCGTGTTGAAAGCTTTGTCTTTGCCTCTAAGGAAGAATCAATTTCCTCAACAGGACATTTAATCTCAGGAAATTTGATATGATCTCTCATTGGTGTTCCAAGTTCCTCATCAATCTCATGTTTTCTGGTCCAATTAATGAAAAAAATAAATAAAATAAACAAGGAGCTCAACGTAGATAAATAACAATAAGGCAGCCTTTTTTGACACTTACAAACAATATATAAGTATGCGGTTATTTGGTAATAGACCTTCCCAAGCCCTTGTCAGAATATCATCTTCTTCATTGTCTTCAAGAGCAATCTCCCTGATAAAAGCAACTTCAGCATCAATCCCATTTGGAAATCAGAACCACAAAAATGCAGATTAAAAACATATATGGAAAAGTGAAAAAGAAAAATAACCTTGGCAAACATTTGCGATGATATGCTTTAGGACAACGCCTACAAACAGCAAATTGCAATTCATGTTTCTTCTTATTTTCTCTTTCCTTACAGACACAGCATGAATGAATAGGACAAATAAAACTTTCTCCATCGGCAATATTTTTCCCAAGTTCTTTAGCAACACAGTGCAGATGGTAAAAGCGGCCACAAGTTGCAACATCACATTTAAAAACCTAACACAGAAATTTCAAGAAAACTTTTAGCTCCACAGAAATAAATAGGCTCCCCATGAAACCTCCAATTTTTAACAAATTGAAACAAAAGCTTAGAAAAATAAATATTGAGCAGAACTCTGGCTGCAAGAATAAGCTAACTCAGCAGGAAAGTAATTAAGCCAGGAAAGCCTCTTTCTGAACAAGGCATCAAAGACAACAGAGATAATGACACATTTACATTCTTCCTTGAATTAAATTTATTCATCAGAATCAGAATGAGAACATGGCAAGTAAAATTTGACCCCCCCCCAAAAGAAAAAAAATTCCTATGCAAGAATTCCATGCATCTATTTGGGTCTGGGGCAATTTTTTAGCAAACAATCCAGTTCACTCAAGACTTTGGATAGGGTAAGTCAATATAATTCAAAGGAGTCAAACACAATAAATATAGCCACGTTGGTCACATCCCCAACAACTTCTGATTTTTGCTGCATCAACTCTTAATTGTAGAACTTAAGCAGCGATGTGGCAGAAATAACTCTTAAAGAACATAAAAATTTAAAAAAAAAAAAAAGAACCAGGCAAAAACTAAAATTGCAGTTTTGTAAAAGTGTGGACATTATGACAACGGCTGGGAATTCTCTGAATCCGTATGTTTTAAATTGTTACTAAAAGTTTGAAGATTAGAATACTTCACCTAATTTGCTAGTTGCTAGGCATGCTCGTAAAATGCCAAGTATTAGGATTCTGTTTTGTAATCTTCGGCACAGCCTTTAGCTGAATATTAATGCATGAAACTCTCAACTTCTTTTTTGGTAATGAAAGTAATTCTTAACTTTTGACACTATGAATTGTTGTGTTACCTATTGTAACGGATCATTCACTGCAACTGAGTCAGTTAAATGGTATAGACAATCATATGCGTTTTAGCCTTTTAGGCATCAATTAGAAAAATTGTCCTCGGCTCCCAGGTGATGATCATTTCTGGAGTAGTAAATCACCTCCAAAAGAGTCAAAGCGTTCCTTTGGTTCTTCGTCAACTTTAGGTTTTGAGCTGTTAAAGTTGAAATGGGTAAAGCTTCCCATGAAAATCCAATGTTTAAGCTGACACTTTATTCCCATAAAAGTAATGTCTGTAACTCTTACAATTCAAATTGTGAAAAGTGAACACCTTATTCCCATAATCTCATGTTATTGTCAATTCTAAATGGATTAAATTAATTCCAGAAGGTCGAAGTCAACACTACTAGTCTTAGTCAACTCTAATTTAACACAGTATAATTTACCTTCCCTTTTACCTTTATTCTAATAGACTTCAAGCTTTCACCGCCTAACAAACTCTGACTATGTCATGTAATCCTTGAATTGGGAATCATTAGCACAAGGGGTCACAATAAAATCAACAAAGTCATTCTTCAATCAAACAGAAAGCAGATCAAAAGGCAACATATGTGTAATAGAATATGTGTGAATATCAAGAACCAAATGCCAAATGACACTTAAGGACAACACATATAATGAACTATCAATTAAGGAGCAGTTCAAAATCTTGCATAGCATTACCTCAGCACGCGAGGATTTATCATAGTAACCTAACTTGCCACATACAAAGCACTGGTGCTGGTTATATTCACAATTTTTGCATTTAAAACTCTGGATCTCCTGCCAAATTCCATCCCAAACAAACATAACATAGAAAGAATAAGGAAATAGGAAAAGATAAGTAATAAACATATATAAATAGGATAACAGACACATACATCAACTTCCTTCTGAGTAAGACCAAGAGAGTCACAAAAGGATTCTGCACCATCCTCCTCTGTCGCATGGAATAACCTCATGCATATTCCGTCACAACTATATTTATCATTGGAAACCTTACAGTATGAGAAAAGAAACTCAAATGGAATTCCATAAAAAAGGAGGTAAACGATATTGTATATTGAGCCTAGAAACCAATTAGTTTACAAGACAGAAATTCATACCACAGCAATTCACCACCATTGTCACAAAATACACAAACAGAATCAAACAAATCATCATCCTCATCCGACTCTTCTGCGGCCTCATCAATTATGTCATCATCCACTATAAATGCAGGCCTTGCTAAATTATTAGCTTCCTGAAATCAATTCGAGTAAAAAATCTGTAAGATTACTTAAAAATGGCATAAATGGAATATATAAAAAGTGCTCAAGGAACAAATGCAACAGAGAGAAATAAATAATTAACATTAAAACAGACCTCATCAAGCACTTTGACATTCCCTGGCTTCTCAAGAACCATGAGTAAAAGCTGTCCAAAGCATGTAATTGTCATTAGATCATTATTTGTGTTTACATTGCTTGAAAATTAATATGCTTCCAGCTAACAAAATTATCATCCAGGCTGATAATGCTCTGCTTATTTAACAACAATAACGCAACAACACATTTTAAATTGAAGTATTTATCAACTGTCTTTATAACAGATTTGGCATACCTTCATAAGTTTTTGAGGTTTTTTTTTTTTTTTGAATGCAGGTTTCTGAGTTTCAGGCAACATTATATGCAATTATAAGTCCTATGAAGGGGGTAAAAGAAGACCAAAGAATCAGAGAATATAGACTGTTGACTTAGGGGCCACTGATCATGTGACTGGTAATCTAAGTTTACTTACTGATGTGCGACCATGTGCTAAAAATATATTCATTAAAGCAGCTGATGTAACTTTACCAAAGTTCATGGAATTGGTACATCCTATATTTTTGAGGAGTCAATTCTAAAAAACGTTCTTTATGCACCTGAATTGAAATGTAGTCTCTCATATGTGCGAACAATTACTCAATGCCAAGATTGTGATATTCACTTCTCTTCTGTTGAATGTATTTTCCAAGATCTGGAGTTGAAAAGGACGATTGGCACTGCTAAGATACTAGAGGGACTCTATCGTTTGGCAACTCAAGTCACAAGACCAATATAGAAGCATCCTATCCAATCTCTCCTACTTTCTCCACCAGTACAATGAATAAAGATGTGTTATTATGGCACTATAGGTTTAAGAGTATTCAAAACCAATCCATACTGATTATACCAAACTGAACTAGAAAAACTGATATGAAATGATCAAAACCAATTATAAATAAGATTTGGTTTGACTTTTCTTTTTGCAAAACCGATTGGTTTGGTCTAGTTAAGGCTTTTGTCTCTTAAAACTTGAACCAAACCAATATAAATTTCCCTAAATTTTTTCTCTTTCCTAAGTCTAGTTATTTGTAAATCAGTGATGTGTTGTAAAAGGCGCTCGCCTCAGTGCCTAAGGAGCCTGGGCGAGGCGCTGAACTTGGCCATCGCCTCTCAAGTGAAGAGAGGCGATGGGTTTCATCAGGCGCTCGCCTTTGAGCACCTTGTGCGCCTCGCATATCCTAAAGGCACGCGACTGATAGCGCCTGGAAGCAGTGAAGATGAGAAGATCAGAAGAGAAGACAAAGACGGAAGATTTTAGAAGAGAAGACGATAAAGGAAGATGAAGGAGTGAAGAATGCTGATTGGGTGTGAAAGAACCGAAAAGAAGAGTAGAAGTTAGTTCTTGTTCGACTGCTGGTGTCGACTGGGTATGCAAGAATCAGAGACGAGAACTCGTCTGCACTCCACCAACTGGGTACGACCGTATCGTGCGAGTATGCTAGCTAGCCATAAGTTCAGCATCGTGGATTGAATATCATCCATTAAAATATGATAAAAAAATATAGTAAATAATTATAAAAAATTTAACAAATCCTATCCTACCTTGTGAGAGAAACGTATAACATATAATAAATTAGGGAAGATTTGAATTTTAAATAAAAGATAATGAAAAATATTATATATAGAAAAAGATTTTAATTAATTATAAGAAATTATCTTTGATTTAAATTTTAAATATGATTGAGACAATTATAAAAGATTTAACAAATCCTATCCTATCTTGTGGGAGAAACGTATAACATATAATAAATTAGGGAAGATTTGAATTCTAAATAAAAGATAATGAAAAATATTATATATAGAAAAAGATTTTAATTAATTATAAGAAATTATCTTTGATTTAAATTTTAAATATGATTGAGAAAATTTTGCTATCGGAAGGAAAATTTTTAGGAAAGTTTAAGACTTTAAAATCCCTCCCAATGTATAGTTTTTAAGATATAAAAAGAAAACCTATTACTGTTATTTGGTATTGGCATCAGTGTGTCTCGAGGCTTAGAGCAAGTGAGCAATATCTCCAAGGATCACGTCTTGCACGTCTTGCACTCTAACAATCAGGTTCTAACTTCTAAGTTTCAAACATCATATTATTTTCTGGTTTTCTTATTTGATTTGTTTGATTTTAGGCCTTTAGCACTACAACACACAGAACAATTATTCAAAAAACAAACCTTTAATTTTTCATTCTCTTTTTTGGTTTTTCCTGGTATTTTTCCCCAGTTTTTAGTGCTTCCATGGCTGAAAGTAGTGGTCAAGGTCAAAACAAGCAACAAGAACAGAATAAGAGAAAAGACCCTGGATGGAAATATAATTTCTTGAGTGACCCAAATGACACCAATACTGTAACTTGTTCCTTTTGTAACAAATCTACAAAAGGAGGGATTCATAGAGCTAAGTTGCATCAAGTTGGAGGTAATAGGAATGCTGCTAAATGTTTGAAGTGTCCTGATAATGTGAGGAAGGAATTGCAAGATTACATGGACAAAAAAAAGGTAGAAAAAGAGACATATGATAATCCAATTATAAATGTTGTGGATATGAGTATGCATGGTGAAGAAGAGGAGGAGGAGGAGGAGTTGTATGGAAAGAAAGGAAAAAATGTTATGCTTACATCAAAGAAGCCTAGACAAAAAGGTCCCATGGATTCTTTTATGAGGAAACCAGAGCAAGTTATTCAATTACGAAAACAAGGAAAGTTGCGAGATGGAAATATAACTGATAAATTTGATAAGGAGAGGAGCTATGGTTTGTCAATACATTAGTCGATTTTTCTACCAAGCTGGCATTCCATTTAATGTTGCTAACATGGATTCCTTTAAAATTATGATTGAAGCTATTGGACAATATGGTCCAAATCTAAAACACCCAAGTTACTATGAGTTGAGGGTGCCAATTTTGAAGAAAGAAGTTGAACTTACAAATGATATGATGAAAAATCATAGAGATATGTGGAAAAGAAAAGGCTGTTCCATTATGCTTGATGGGTGGACTAGCCAAACAAATAGAAGCTTGATAAATTTTTTAGTGAATTGCCCAGTTGGCACAATGTTTATAAAATCTATTGATGCATCCTCATATTTTAAAACAGCAGAAAGATTGTTCAATTTGATTGATGATTTTGTTGACCATGTTGGGGAAGAAAATATTGTTCAAATACTGACGGATAATGGGTCTAACTTTAAAGCTGCTGGTAAATTATTAGAAATGAAAAGGTTGAATCTTTTTTGGACACCATGTGCAACACATTGTGTAGATCTTATATTAGAAGACATTGGAAAAATTTCTAGGGTATCAAAGACTTTTGGCAAGAGCAATCAATTTGACAGGGTATATATATAACCACGTAGGACTTCTAAATATGATGAGAGAGTTCACCAAGCAAAAGGAGTTGGTGAGGCCTGGCAAAACTAGATTCTGCACTTCATGTCTTACTCTTAAAAGCATTCATCAATAGAAAACTGCATTGAGGACTATGTTTACTTCAGAGAAGTGGGAATCAAGTAAGTGGTCAAGAGAACCTAAAGGAAAGCGTGTGGTTGAAAGTATGCTTATGCCTTCTTTTTGGAATACTGTTTCTTATATATTAAAAATTATGGGACCTCTTATTTGAGTGCTAAGACTTGTAGATAATGAAAAAAAAACCAGCCATGGGTTATATATATGAAGCAATGGATAGAGCCAAGGAGGCAATTCAAAAGGCATTTGATAATAATGAAGATAAGTATAGAGAGATTTTTCATATTATTGATGAAAGGTGGAATTGCCAACTTCATCAACCGCTAAAGGAAAACAACCGATTACCAACATTGAGGAACTTGCAAATTTTGATTCAGATGAGTTAGAGGAAGACGATGAAGGATATAAATCCAACAATGAAGGAGGAGAAAGTCCTGACCTTGCCGCATCTGAATCTGATTCAGATTTCTAGTTTGATTTTTTTATAGGCCTCAATATTGTTTTTTCATATTTTAAAGACATTTTATGCACTTGATTGATTATTGGAATAGTGTATATTATTTTGTTGTAGTTTTGTAGAAGTTTATGATTGAAGTAGATTTATATTTATCACTTTATCTATGGTTTGTTGTCTATAATCTATGTATTATGCATTTTATCTACAGTAGTGCCTTGCTTCACTCAGGCGTGCGCCTTTGTAGCGCCTTGCGCCTAAGGTGTTTTACCAGCTTTGCGCCTTGAGTGTGCCTTTCGCCTTTAACAACACTGTAAATCACTAATAAAAAATTTATTACAATTAACTAAATGCTATCTATAACTATGTATGATAATTTTTAAAATTTATAATCAAGTATTTTAAAGATAATACATTAGTTTTTAATAGTTAAATGTAATAATTAATTATCAAAAAAGATTCTTTTGTCCTCAAGAATTTTTTTTCTTGTTGAAAATAGTAACTAAAAATGGTTAAAAATTACTAGTAAACATCTACATATATTGATTATGAAACATATCTAAAAAATAAAATTCAAACATAAACCAAATTAAACCAAATCAAACCGCCCAAAAACCAAACCAAACCAAACTGACTAGAAGAAGAAAAAAAATAGAATAGGTTCCAAGCTTTGTAAACCGAATGGTTTGGTTTAGCTTGGTTTTTTCCCAAAACGAACCTATGAAGACCATTAGGTTAGGGGTTAGGCCAACCCAACTTTCATTACATGTCCAAATTGTTTCCTCATCTTATGAATAAAAATTCTCCCTTCCATTTTCTTGTTTTCCAACTATCAAACCACACAAAGCTATATGTAAAAATCATTCTCATCAATTCTCTAAACCCTTTAACATTGCTCATAGGGGCATTTAGGGACCCTCTCATGTTGCATCTCTCTCCAATGCCAAATGGTTTGTAACCTATATTGATGATCACACTCAGTTAACTTAGGTTTTCCTTGTGGAAAAAAAATCTGGTCTGATACCCATTTTTCTCCATTTTCATCATATGATCAAAACTTAGTTTCAAACCTCTATTTTAACTCTGAAGTGACAATGGGAGAGAATACATGAGCTCTACCTTACAGCAATACCTTCAGAAAAATGGGATTCTACATCAAG